GTACATTTTGAAATTATGAATAATGATCTATTTATTCATTGACACACTGATTAAATATCAATCATAAAAATACCAATATCCCTCACTTATTTTGTTCAGTATATGAAATGTGACTGAACCTGCATGTTACAAAGACATGAAATGTTCATACAATTGTAGTGGTGACTTGTGTACTGTGCCTGGAAATGATGGCTTTAATTCCAGAGGACATATGTCACCATTTGTCCCAATGAACCCCTGCAAAAGTATCATTTTGAACATTTTTTCGTGCAGTGTGTCTCGGTTCTGACTGTTACAAGCGAGTTTGTTAATGTATGAATGATCACATCTACAGATGGAAAAAGGTATCGCAACACTCATGTTTTATGACAGGACCTTTGTTTAATCACAGTTTAAATGATATGTGCGTCTATACAGGAAATGATCACTGAAGTGATAAAAAGACTTTTCATTTACACAAAACCCAACAACAAAGAATCTGTAATAACTGAAATTGAGATAAAATTATGGTATCCAAAACGGGTAACACGATGCATACACCCCATCAACAAATAGGGTCTCTAGTTTCAGAAACAGAAGACACAGTATCTTGTGCAACCTCCGTGCACCTGGAAAACGTTTTGAACATTCGTCCTCATTGAGTGCACAAGACGCTGAATGCGTTCTTCCATTCTTGGTCCAATGCTTGTTCTTATTCATCAATATTCTGGATTGACAAACCTTACTCACCAGAATGTCCCAATCATACTCGAATCAAATCAGGGCTTCTGGCTGGGCATGGAAGGGTGGTAATGGCTTCTTTATGCAGGAAGTCAATGACTGCTCGCTGACTGGTGTTGTCAGTCATAAAGATTGGCCTTGTTATAAAGAATGATTATCAAAATTAGGCACTATGTGCAGCCATACGGCACACAGACCCATACCATTAAGGATCCTCGGCCGAATGGAACTTCTTCCTTTGAGCATATGCCATGTTCATCTCTCGCCTCACACGCGTCCTTCCGTCAGTAACAAACAGCAAAATGTTTCATCTGAAAAATGGATCTTCCTCCAAGAAGCCAGGTTCCACCGATGCCGGTCACGGCACCACCGTAATCTTGCATCCATGTGGGCACGTGTCAACAAAGGTTGTCGGACAGGTCTCCTGGCCTTATACCCTGCTGTTTTCAGTCGATTTCTAACAGTTTTATGTAGAGGGTAATGTCCGAGTAACTCTCCATTCCTTAAAAATAATGGAGCCGAGGCCCCGGAGGGGCCGAGGCACATTGTTTTTAAGGAATGGAGAGTTACGAGGATATTACCCTACTTAAATTACATTCAAAGTATTGGGAATATTTCTGTTATCAAAGTTATATGTCAAAATGACAAAATGAAGTCTAAAATTTGAAGCTGGTACACATCGTTCCATTCCTGAAAAGTAATGGAGCGAGCAGACAATGGAATGACGTCACAAATGTATTTTTAAGACAGAGCTTCTGATGTGGAAGCCATTGCCGTTTTAACATTTGACATTGCAAAGGGAAATCACCGAACAAGTGTTAGTAGGATTGCGTCTTGTCTAGCTGATGCCCTGCGTGGTCTGCCTGAACTATGCAGATCCTTTACATCTTTTGTTTGGTGATATGTCCTCACTAATCGACTGATTGTTGAGGGCTGGCGACCTCATTGCCTGGCAATTTGTCTCACGGATAACCCGGCATTAACAATATCTATAACTTGCCATCTTTTGGTTGAGGTTAGTTGAGAACGTGTCATATGGCGGTTTAAGACAATTAGTATGCGTTTTAGCTCAGTTTTCTAACAAGACTGAATGATAAATGAAACTGTATTTTCATGACACGAGGTTTGCAAGTGTTTCATATGTCTCCAGACTTGTTACCTGTTGTTGTTTTCATTTATTTTCATAATGTTGATACATGGCATTTTTAGGATATTGAGAGAACAAAAGTACTAGGTGTTGTGATACTTTTTGTTCCGCGTGTGTATTAGCCCAGCGGCTAAAAATGAATCTCTGGTTAAAGAATCATTATGTTCATCTGTGTAAAAATGACATCCCCTTTATCACATTACAAGGCTAATCAATCTCACAACGAACAGGCACTGATGTTAGGTAGTTTTGACGATAATGAAACTTGTCGGATCTCTCTAGTAACAATACCAAAATTTGCACCATGTCCTTTGGCTTTAACGGTTATATTAATATAACAGAATAACAGACGTTTGTTGTATTTGGAGGCGAAGAGAACAGTTTAAGCTGTAAAACTGTTACATAATATTTTAGAAGCAATACTTTGAATACACAATGCCACTGAGAAAGTGGTTAAGTGCAACAGATGTTCTATTTGGGGCCACGCCCTCCCAGCAAAGCACAGACTCTCGCACCTCTGCCGGGCCGAGTCCCATGCAGAACCCGAACTTACATCTCCAGAGCCAGGCACCCAATCGCCAGCACACAAAGTTATTATTATAATTACACACATATTAATATAATTGCTTACACGTGTATCAGTGATTGCTAAATCTAAAGACCAGACCAGAGTATAAAGGGAATAACAAAGAATTGTCGTATAACATCTATGATAAGTGTGCGACATTGCATAAATACCTGTTTACAATACAACAACGAAATAACAGGTATAGCATGACCAGAAATTATTGCGAATTTTAGGAATATGTTTAATTGGATTTCTAGTATAAACAACCTTGACCAGCTATCAAGTGCTTGGTCTCATTCAAGAGAAACAACTCTGTTAATCCTTTTTCATTATTTTGTGAGAGTTATGCCCCTTTGTTTACTTGCTAGCAGACGACATTTTCAGTGATCCTCAGTATGGATGATTTAGAGAAGAGGAAGTTGTTTTTATAGTATTATAACAAGGACATCAGATCAGCTAAAGTGATTTCAAGTAGAACAGGGATCCCTTTGTCCACTGTTTATCGTGTTTAGAAAACTATTGCAAATGGATATGGCATTGAGCATCAGGAAGGCGCAGGTAGGCCCAGAAAATTGACTGTCGGTGACAGGAGGCGGCTTGTATTCTTGTTTGTAAAAACAAACGAAGGAGTTTAGAAAACTTAAGGCTCGATATGATTGATAGAGGAACTGTGGCTGTCTGTAAGGAGACAATTAGAACTGAGCTGCATGCAATGGGTTGGCAGAAAAGTCGAGGAATTCCATCACTGATCATGAAACCTGAACAAAAGGAGCGAAGGTTGAACTGGTGCTTACAGCATAGATATTTTAACTGGGACAATGTTATTTTCTCAGATGAAAGTTCTGTGTGGCTGTTTCCTAATACACTGAAATTCGGGACCAAACAAACTGAAAACCTTTGTATCAGCGCCCAAAGTACAGCCCGAAATTTAACGTTTGGGGTGGCATATCTGTGTTAGGGGAGACGCCCCTCTGTATATTTGAAGGGAATATAAACAGTGATCGGTACACAGATATTCTCGAGGGACATTAACTTCCATCTGCTCACGTGTTCTATGGAAATGTTTGGATTTTCCAGCAGGACAACGACCCAAAACATCGTTCAAAGCATTCACAGGCCTGAGTTTCGGACCCAAAATATGACATTATTAGATTGGCCAAGCTATAGCCCTGACCTAAATCCAACAGAAAATGTTTGGGGACTTATGAAGGAAAGTGTCAATAAGAAAAATCTGACAAATATTGCTGAAATGAAAGAAGAGGTGGTCCGATATTGGGACAACATGGACCACGACTTTCAAACTTCTTTAATCAGTAGTATGCCCTGCCGCATTGAAGCCTGCATTGCTGCCCATGGTGACTTGACAAATTACTAACTGTTCACCTGTCTTTGAATGTGGAGTTATGTTCATCTAATATTCACATTTAATACGTGAGTAATGAGTGAAAAAATTTAAAAACTGGTTGTAGACATTTCTCAATGTTGGAACGTCAACGGTTTATGGTTACTTAAATTGTTATCTCTGTGATAACCACACCCAGAGCCCAGTGACTACAGAAATCAGCAAAATGTCAGTGAAACAAACCAAAAGCAATTCGGATACATTGGCATCAGATCTATAATAATGGTTCTGAAGACACGTCTGATTGTTCGGCTGCGTTCTTTCTGTGCGCTGCACAAGGGTTTGAGGCTCGCAGTCTTTTCCTCTGTATGAGCCTGAAAACGAAGACCACTAGTGTTGATTTTATATGGAACAAGTCTCGTCATCGAAACAAACTACTCACTGAGTGCACGCGTGTACATCATCAAGGTTGTTTCATAAAATAGATAGCTTAAAGTAGCATTGTTTCCTTGGTAGTGATACTTGCATAAACGTATTTTATATCACCACACAAACCTTCATCATATGTATGGAATGGAATATATTTCATCAAGCCTGCATGTACAGCTAAAATAATTAATTACATTTCATTAACCTATGTAAAGCAGTGCTCTGTGTATACATACCACACAAGTACTGCGACAAGCAATATGGCAACTGGGACACCAATGGCAAGAGGTAACGTAGGATCTGAAATTGCAAGAAATGTGACAATAAATTTATATTTTTTAGGTTTTAGTCCACTGTCATGTCAGCGTCGATGACGGCAATGGCGAATTTTTTCAGTTCGTTCATTGGCGATTAAACCCATTTGTACAATGTCATGAAAAATGCATATATTTTACCAATATGACTGTCCTCAGATGCTAGAGATTCGGACGGTGAATGGCGATCCAAAGGAGACAAGTCTGTTTTCTCTGAAGAGTTCCCAATACACTCCCCTGTCCTCCAGTTACAAGGACCTGGACACCTGGAACAATGTTTGTCACATTTCTTGCCGTACATGCCTTCTCTGCATTCCTTCTTACACGACACGTTGAATCTGTGGCACAAGTTGTCGGGGCATGTTGATGGACAGCTCTGGCTGCACGTCATACCATATAACCCATCACGGCAGTCCTCACAAAGTCCTCTTGGTCGACACAGTCCGTCCGCACTCCGATGGACATACGTTAGAACAGTTTCCCCCATAATGTCCTGGCCCACAAACTGTCAAACGAAGCAAACATGCATTACCGTTGTTATACGAAGCATTTATATGGGGTAACCAAATGGTAACGACGCTTGTTTATTAAACTTCAGACAAGAATACTGTTGAATTCCAGAAACGAGTAAATATGTAACGCCCATTTCCAGTGTCCCCCCGCTATGAAAGTACTTTTAGCGGCGTAAAACCATACTCATTTCATTGGTCTGCTTTCAACAAAAATCGACAAAGATGCCAAGCTCTATTTGACGTATTTGCCTCAAAAAGTATGTGGGATTATACTCTTAAGCTGATATAATACTCTTACAAAAGTAGGATATTATAAAATGTGTCAGTAATGAGTACTATTTTTTCTGCAATTGTAAATATTTTTTTTGACGATTTACAGTGTTGAATGCCTTTGCAAAATGTTCAAAACTACAAAATACCATTTTATTTTTCCTTTTATGGAGAACATATAGTGTATTACAGAGAATGGCATGAGGTTGATCACTGTAATTGCACTGAACTCTCGAAATTTCATCGGAAACTGAACGACCGACCAGAAATATCCTTGACGCACTAGACCCACACGGGGAATCGAACCAAGGTTTAGGCGTCATGAGCGAACACGTTAGTCACTAGGCGGACCCACCGACCCGTCAAAGACTTGGGGTCGAACACAGATTGAAGGTTTAGTTACCGTCACATACAGCCGCAGATATGACAAACACAAGGAAGACATACAGCAGGCCAGGGTCGAAGTACTGTGTCAGGTTCACTGTCATCTTTGATCCAACTTTAACTACACACGTGAAGGTATTGTCCTTCAAGCGGTTGCAGGTAGATAGGTCAGCAGAAAAAAATATAGTCATTATTATGTCACATTGATAATATTTATATGTAATTATACAATAAGAAACTATACAATGATATTTCATGAGTAATGAAATTAAGGAGCTTTTGTCAATTGTTTTACAGTCTGACGAAAATAACAACTGCATTATTATATATTAGCAATAATATTATATTAGTTATGTGTAGGATAAAGCACGACTCCGAGGTTATGGTTGGGAAAAGTAAGACTCGAGACCGGAGGGTGGGGAGAAGTAAGATCGAGAGCGCGTAACGCTCGAGGTCTTACTTCTCTCCACCCGATGGTCGAGGGCTTACTTTCCCAACCATAACCGAGGAGGGGTGCTTTATTATACATATAAACCGTCAATGATGGATAATTAGATGACCATGTAATGAAGCTACATAATAGTAACTGAAGCGCTATTAAAATCAATTAAATGACAGTAGGCCTAACTATAAATAGATAATTCAACCCTTGTTCTTTGTCGGATCGGTGGCTGTGAGGTAGAGCGTCCGCTTATGAATCAGAAATATACAGTTCCAATCCTGCTAGGACAAACATTTGCACATATAAGTTGATCTTTGACGATATTTTTCAATTGATTTCAAACACTAACGTATCATCTGAATTTGAATGTTGATGATAATATTGAGTTAGGGAAATGTAAAACCTGGCAAGAGGTCTTACTTACGAAAAGCAAAACCTGGGAGAAACAAAAACCTCAAATGCGGTAATTCCGGGAAAAGAAGCCATGTCTAATATATAGTGAGAAGCACCGTTCAGGTTTATATGTACATCTACTGACGTCATCATATTGTTGCTTTGAGGCCTTGTTGTCGGAGAAACTACAGGTTCTAAAGGTTATCCCTCTGACATTTTTATATAGTGAACTCTCTCTCTTAATGTTTGATTATATTTCTGTACATATCAATTGTCAACTATGAACGACATTGTCATGTATGTAAATACTAATGTGTTTTATGTTTGATTGAATTCATGTATCAACAATCTTCGAATTGATTTATGGAGGAAATGAACTCTCTCTCAGAGATCTTCAGTAACCCATGCTTGTCGTAAGAGGCGACTAACGGGATCGGATGGTCAGGCTCGCTGACTTTGTTAACACAAGTCATCGGTTCCCGATGGCTGAGTGCGGCGTAAGACTAAACTCATTCACTCATGATCACTTCAAGTGTTTCATTTAAAATTCTAAATGTTCATATTGCAACTCTAGAACAACTGATAAATCTCTCTCTCTCTCTCTCTCTCTCTCTCTCTCTCTCTCTCTCTCTCTCTCTCTCTCTCTCTCTCTCTCTCTCTCTCTCTCTCTCTCTCTCTCTCTCTCTCTCTCTCTCTCTCTCTCTCTCTCTCTACCTCTCTCTCTCTCACACACACACACACACACCTCACTTTTATGGGGGAACTTCCCGCTTGAATTACCTACACATCCGTCTTTCACGTACACCATTTTCGCTTCAGGCACTGCAGCACCCCTGCTCCAAGTATCTACCCATCTCTGGTCTTCGTATCTCCCGCACCACGTACCTGCCCCATGACTACTGTCAGTACCTGCCTGACCACCGCACCGCGTACCTGAACCCATCCCAGCTGCCAGTACCTATCTGACTCCTGCACCATGTACCTACCCTATCCCTGCTGCCAGTACCTACCTGACCCCATCATCACGCACCTACCCCATCCCTGCTCTAAGTATCCATCTGATCGCAACACTACCTGACCATTCCTGCCATCACGTATTTACTACCTACCCCATCCCTGCTGTCAGTGACTACCTGACCCCGCACCACGTACCTACCCCATCCCTGCTGTCAGTACCTGCCTGACCCCCGCACCACGTACCTACCCCATCCCAGCTGTCAGTACCTATAATGATCCTCGCACCCACGTACCTACCCCATCCCTGCGGAACCTATATATCATCCTCGCACCACGTTTCTGCCATAGCCCTGCTCTAAGTACATATCTGACCCTCGCACCAGGTACCTGAACTATCCCCGCTGTCAGTACCTATCTGACCCTCGCACCACGTACCTACCCTATCCCTGATGTCAGTACCTGCCTGACCACCGCACCGCGTACCTACCCTATCCCTGCTGCCAGTATATATCTGACCCTCGCACCACGTACGTGCCCTATCCCTGCTGTCAGTACCTGCCTGACCACCCCACCGCGTACCTACCCTATCCCTGCTGCCAGTATCTATCTGTCAGTTTCGTCTGACATCGATTGAAAATACGTTTCTTAACTAATATACGGTATTAGTTCCCAGAGGAGATTCGTACTTTCTGTTTGATCTGTACTAGTACTGGTGGTTTGCACAACAACAAACAATAACCTAAATGTTATCAAGCTTATCCGGGTCACACTGACCTTTGTTTTGACTGAAGACGCAATCGACACAACAGTTGTATATCAGTTGGTGTCTACACTGTACCGTGGTATCATACAGGCACCAAACACGAGCTTGGGTGGATGTGCTTTCCCACCAACTACCCCGCCACCACGAAACGAAACTAGAAGCTTTGTTGGACAGTTTTAGTGATTACTTCTTGACTGTTGTGTAAACTCGTCATTGGTCAGTTAACTGGAGCACGATGACCCAAACAGCTCCTCACATCGATAGTGTGTTTCGCCGAGTTTATTTATACTGTCAGCTCCCAACACTGCTGCGTTTATTACACACGAACCTTTCAGCTGAACAATGGGTCGTGTTGAGTAGCGTGCACTATAGTCCGTTTGGCTCCAAAGCGAACCGATGAATTGCAATCTAACTCGAAAACTAACAAACATAAAATACTCAATGAAACACCGATCATAATCAAAACGTCAGACCAACTCAGGTGGTCAGGCTCGCTGACTTGGTTGACACTTGTCATCCTATCCCAATAGCGTAGATGGATGCTCGATTATTTACAGACCGCCGCCATATAGCTTGAATATTGCTGAGTATGGCGTAAACCTACACTCACTACATTTTCCGGGCAGTGTAGGTCACCCAGAAACTGTTGCATAAGTATTTTATTTGCTGTCAATCTTAGACTAGTATTTAACTATTATTATGAGCAATCTAAGTGTTCGAGGTGGCATGTCTTTAAAACGACCCATTGTACGAACACGATTTTATAAATACACCCAGGCCAGATATGTTTCTAGTTGAACATCTCACCGGACTCTGTGACACTTCTTTAAATAATACACTCAACAAAATATGTGCTTACATGGCTGAACACAAACATAATTTAGTTGTGCATTTATTGATCACAAAACAGTAACCTGACAACCGCTCTAATGGATAAATTATCCCTAATAACATTAGACCTTGAAGCACCTGTCACTGGTTCAATATCTTGTGTCTGAAGCACATCTGGGGCCTGGAAACTCATCCCTCGTGCTGACATGCACAGAATCGGTTGACCGCGTTGCTAAGCAAATAGTGCAGACAGTTCATGAAGTGTAAGGATTGTCAGATCTTTAACATACAACAGGAGTGAAATAGCTGAAAATGTGCAAAGTTAGATTCAGAATTCATCTCACAATGTTAACATACATTTACAGTACGCCTGCCTGCCTTGTGCTGTTATAGTTGTTTAACGCCGCACTCATTAGTATTCCAGCTATATGGCGGCGGTCAGTAAATATTCGAGTCTAGGGCTGCACGGTATTACCGGTATACCGGTAAACCGCAATACGAAATTGTAACAGTTACGTATCGCGATACGTTTATGATGTACCGGTACACCGCACATAAGACTTCCGCCCGTATACCTCCTAAATTTTAATGGTGAGGAAAAAGATATATATGCATATTCAGGTAATATGGGTGGTGATGGGTGGGGATTTGGCAGGTCTTTCCAAATGTTTGGCAACGGGCCCACTTAAAAATTGTCAAAGTGCGAAGTATCGACGTTTTGAGGAAATCATTAAAATTTAATAAACTAATGAATAAAATCCAGTTTTCATAAAAGTTCCCAAACGTACATATAGGTTACTATTTCCATCTTTTCGTGCGATCATGTTATGTAAGTCAAGTGACATCTCGGCTTTCGTCGCCTCGATCTTCATGTTCGGACACGATGTATAATGAGAAAACATTTGCGTAAAGAATATTTGTCACAGGTCGCCACCTAGCACGATACGTCCAATCAGGTCCTTAATTTTCATATGCATGGCGATGTGTTGCTTAACACGTTCAGAATAGCATTATTGTATCCAAATCTTTTGTCTAAAAGTTTTCGTTTATGAGGTCGGTATCCATTGTTGTAATATGATTGGCTTACGAACATGATTTTTACCAATGACGAACCTTATAGCAGACTGTTGCGAAAAAGCGTCATTTGAAACCAATCTTTATCCAATAAAATCGCTTCTTACAACTGCAAAAATACTCCTGGCAAGGTTACTGTGATATTATTGATGATTACAGCTTTGGAACAATATCCGCCATCAAATGAATCTATTCGAGTGTTGTTCATACGGAGCTTCGAAAACGGAGGCATTTCCCAATGTTGTGTCATGTTACCAGGTGAAAAGCCACGGTTATCGGGAAATAGGCGACCATACATATTATTTAATTCATCTTTATATAATAATTTTCTGATTACGTACAATTGAAATTATAAAAGAAATAGGTAAGAGGAAATTATGGCATCTTACAAATGGATTAAAATAGCGTGAGTTTACGTGTCCTTCGTGGTTGATATGGACATTTTAAGCGTGTAAATTTGTGTTACTATTAGAAATAAATTTACTTAAGTTGAAGTTGTATTATTTGAACAATATGATAAACATACCTTTGGTATTTATCAACAGTTGGATTAGACCTAAACATTTTAAATGGTGTATGACATAGCGATAATGTTTCACGAGCTGATATTTTCCTTGATAAACGTAGGCTTCTATCTTATCATAAGGTTATATTTCTCAGGTTTTATTTTTTTTTCATTATTCTATTCAGTCTAAAGAAAGTGTACTTTACCTGATACAGCGTGACTTTTGACCATCGTGAGTGTTTTGTTAAATCATTTCTTTATGAGAAAGTGTACCAAACGCCATTCGTGAAATAAGTAATGTTAATAATACTTTTATTCAAGGACATGGGCGCATATATCATTGTTTTGATTATAATGTGCTCTTCAAGATCATGTCACATGATTGTGACTTCAATTGTTTTTTTCTTGAGTAATACAGATGTGCACAGTAAATTCTTTAACTCTTTAAATTATTTCAAGTTCAACACCATTTGCTGTTTAAAGAAGTTAAAGTATATAAATAGTATGGGTGGGTCGATGGAGGACATGGTGTAAGCTAGTTTCAGTTGAATTTGTCATGTATATGAAATCAGAAAGCATACATTTATCTGCGTTAACTCTCCTTTGGACAGCCGTTACAATTAAAAGAAAGACTTGTTGAAAGTTTTTTTATAGTAAAGCGTAGGGCTAGTAATTTTTTGAAAGGACTAGTGACATATAAAATCCACTAGTCCGGAGGGCCAGTGAGTTTAGTGAGTGTCGATCCCTGCTGTTTTAAAATAAAAATATAAACTAAGGGATGTTCTGGATTTTTCTTTTTTCACTTTGAAAGAAGCTATACAATGCACAATGGTTACGCACAGATACTGTGATTCAATTTGAAGGTAAAAGAATATTACCAAGTGGACAGATTTCAATAACTGTTCTTTCACAATATATTTCAATATGTATCGCAATACAGAAGAGTGTATCGCAACATATCGCAATACGAAATCTGAGCCCTAATCGAGTCTGAACCAGATAATCCACCGATCAGCAGCATGAGCATCGATCCACACATTGGGATACGATGACATGTGTCAACCCAGTCAATGAACCTGATCACCCGATCCCGTTACTCGCCTCTCACGACAAGCATGGGTTACTGAAGATCAGTTCTAACCCGGATCTTCAAGTGTTGTTGTGTTATGATACAGGAGAAACAAAATGCAGTATTGGACGTTTCGGCGAATCACTTCCTAATTTCGGTTGTTTAAAGCGCTCAAACAAATAACGTCTTAATACGTATGTTGTCCCCCAAATATAAATGTTGGCTTGTTCCCTAATGATAATTTATTTGATCACTACATGTGACTCTGCAGCATGTATTGAGAGATTAGGTATTAGTGAGTGAGTATAATTTATTGTCACATCGGCAGTATTTCAGCCATATTGTGACGTGAGGAAAATATACGTCAATGACACATATACACACCTAACTTAATCAAGCACACATTGTATTTTTGGAATGATAGGTTTTCAACACGTACATACAACTTCTCGTGGTGACCACAATGGAAAAACATGAGTTTTTCTAACACGTATGATCCTTTGAATGTAATGTATGTAATCCATGTTGATTTTATGATGATAATTGCTCATTTAAAAACAAACAAAAATAAACCCACCGATTTTCATACAAAACCATGTCTGTACAAGTATGGCCCTGGAATGTTTAATGTTGAATTTATTGCTGAATGTGAACATTCAAAATGTTATTTTTCGTATCTTACACGATTCAAGGTCAATATCGAGTGTAACATCCATGTGACTGTATGACAGCCAACACTCTCCTCCTCATACGGTCAGCCTTCCGATCCTCTGAAGGGGCAGTCTACGCAATTCCTCGTGTGAAAACAGCTTTCAATTGGGTCGGGTTCTGCACAGGAGTATCCTTTTGTTGCACACGACGACCAATCAGGTCTCAGATATGCTCCAAAGGCTCATTGAATTGATATGTCAGGGGGGGTGCTTAACTAAGTTTACAGTGTATAGTTTGTTGGTTTGTTTACGCCGCACTCAGCAATATTCCAGTTGTAGGGCGGCGGGTTCTTTTTTTCGAGAAAACATATTTTTGTAAATGTTCTGAATGCTACAGTAAAGTCTTTGGCCAGAACAATATTTAAAATTGGAAGTTTTAACAGTTATACTCCTGTCTATCTGATAGGCACAAATATGTCTTAAGGGCGGAAAAGGGAATCTACGGAAAGTGCCAACTCCACAATAACAAGCTTATTTCTTGACCGTTCCATTACAGAAACTGCTGAACAAGTCAGGAGTTGCCCTGTCTGACTACTAGAAATATACACCATGGATGTCTGTCCGTCTGTCTGTGTACACCTGGCACTCTGCGATATTATCATATTCTCCATAAAGATATGCACAGGTATTGATATTGTACTGTTTTATAACATTGAGATGTAATTTTAGACAATAATACTTGATTACCTGTTATATGCGTTACTGAGTCTTTATTGACATACTTCTGTTTCTGAAACTCCATACAGACCTTGTAAAATATAGACAATAAATATCAGTATCCTCACACCATACAAAGCCAAAAGTTGGTAACACATTGGCAGTGTAACTTTATACTTTGCATTCATAAGTGGTAAATGCAATGCATTTCTTCGTCGACGCATCCGCGACACAAAGGACAACGGGTAAACTGAAACCCTCTGAGGGCAACTACAGACCCGTGCCAGTTATATTCGGACACTTGACGTAATTTCCATAGACTTACATATTATTTCAGTGTAGAATAATTTTCATGAAGTGAGTTGAGGATGGATCTATGTAAAATTTGACAGTTATTGACGTCGCAAGAGCAATGGGATGCAGCCGTCGTACTGTGTATGACTTGCGAGGTCGTCTACAACAAACTGGCACCACTTCTGATCGGTGATCGCCCAAGGTCGGGTCGTCCACGTGTGACGTCACGAGCAGAAGACCGTCAAATCGTCCTACGTCACCTACGTGACAGATTTCTGCCGGCTACACGAACCAGGACTGAGATGTTTAGAGGTCGACTGTCCTCACAGACCAGTCGAAATCGGTTGCGGGCTGACAATCTCCATTCTCGACGTCCATATCGTGGGCCAATATTGACGCCGTTTCATCAACGTCAACGTCTGCTGTGGGCCCAACGTCACCTCCGATGGACCAAGAGAGACTGGAATCGAGTCGTCTTTAGCGATGAATCCAGGTTTACCCTCAGATTCGCGGACGGCAGGCATAGAGTCTGGAGACGACGTCGTGAACGGTATGCCCAATGTTGTGTACAGGAAGTCGACATATTCGGGGGCGGAAGTTGCATGGTGTGGGGTGCTTTCTGAGGGAACAACCGTTCCCGACTTCTGGTCATCCGTGGAAACCTTTCAGCTGCTGCTTACCGCGACCAGGTGCTCACCCCTGAACTCGTTCCTTTCATGGCGGCTCATGGCTCAGGTCTACAGTTCCAGCATGATAATGCTCCGCCGCATACCGCCATGTTGACACGAAATTTCCTTCAAAACGCTGGAATCAACGTCATGGACCATCGAGGTCCCCTGACCTTAATCCAATAGAGCACGTTTGGGATGCACTTGGGAGAAGGCTTCGTGGTCTTAGGAACCAACCTCAGAATTTGCAGGAACCTTGCGCTGCCTTGCAAGAGCAATGGCGCAGAATCCCCAACCACGTGTTCACAAGCATCAGGCAGTCGATGAGGAGACGGTGTTTGACAGTGGTGAATGCGCGGGGCGGCCATAGACGATATTGAACTGAGAAATTTCGCATTTTTATTCTTGTGACTTGACATTCTGTATACCCATGTTTTGGAACGGCGGTGTAACCTAATGGAACTGATTATGGCACTGTCAGTTTATCGAGTACATCACACAGATCTCAGCAATGAAATAGTAACAATTTAACCATCTTACCATCTCTTGTTCTTTTATAGTGCCCTAAAGAAAGAATGTGAAGTTTCTATTTTGACTCAGTATATAACTAATGATATCACAATTATCAACTTACGTATGGTTCAAAAGTGCATAATCCTATAGGCCGCCATGTTTAAGGATCTCACGGCTATGTACATATGTTCATTTAATTGTTGCCATTCGATAAATAAGCAATGGGAAATTAAACAGATTATGCGATTGTTCGTAAGATGATTCCTCACAAGTTTGCAAGATTTTACAAAAATTAAATTCATGAAAATTATTTATGCTACACTCAATTGACATGTAAGTGTATGGGAATTACGTCAAGTGTCCGAATATAACTGACACGGGTCTGTATATCCAGGGGTGGTTTGCAATGTTTGTAAGCCATTTCTTGCGGGCGACAGCGGCGACAAGACTATATGATCCCGTGTTCGATGTATGAGTGAGTGAATTTGTTTTTACGCCGGGGAGCAACAGAAATCGGCTTCAAACATGTGCTCATGTGGGTAATCGAACCCGAGTCTTCGGCGTGACGAGCGAACGCTTTAACCATCAGGCTACCCCACCGCCCTCCGTCCTTAATAAACATCTCATAGCGGGACGAAGTACCCACAGGTCACTGGTCATTCGCAGCTACGAAGCCCCGGGTTCGATTCGTTGGCTCTTCACGCCGAAGATCCGGGTTCAAATCCCGACATGGGTACAATGACTGAAGACCATTCCTGGTGTACCCCGCCGTCATATTGCTGGAATATTGCAAAACGCGGCCTAAAATATCTCACTCACACTCACTCACTCACTCTCTCTCTCTCTCTCTCATATGTAATGACACATTCCTCAGCACTCCTGCTCCAAGTATCTACCCATCTCTGGTCTTCGTATCTCTTCCCTAAGCGATCGACGAACCTGCCCGAAACCTGTTAACAGTACATGCCTGACCCTTGCATCACACACCCACCCATCCCTGTTTCAAGTACCTATCAGACCACCACACAAGGTACCTGTCCCATGACTGCTGTTAGTACCCTCACCGCGTACCTGTCCCGTACCTGCTGTCAATACCCATGTGATCCCCACACCACGTACCTATCCTTTCCCTGCTGGATGAGCAGAGGCAATGGTGAAAACACTCACTTGCCTAAGGTGAGACCACATGTATTACAGTGCTTCGTTGTGGGACAGGAAAGTCTCAGGGGGTCAAGCTGTCAAACACTGAGCTCTTTCGACAGGGCCACACACCATACTGACGTGGTTTTACGTACCCTCTCTGGGAATATACATACATATATGTATGTTTGTGTGTGTGTGCGTGCGTGTGTGGTCCAGTGCATATAGCCCTGGTCACGAATCAGTTAAGCAGTTGATTTTGTTTGGTTTCTTTATTGTTTGACGCCGCACTCAGAAAATCCCAGCTATATGGCGGTGGTCTGCCAATAATCGAACATGGTCCAGACTATCCAGTTATCAACAGTATGAGCATCGATCTACGCAATTGAGATACGATGACATGTGGCGCATCAATAAAAAGACCAGGTTTAGTTTAGTTTAGAACACAGCATTCACCAACGAACATATTCTGTTTAACTGCGAAGGCTTTTCAAATGCAAGGGTGAGTGAGTAAGTTTAGTTTTACGCCGCACTCAGCAATATTCCAGCTATATGACGGCGGTCTGTAAATAATCGAGTCTGGACCAGACAATCCAATGATGAACTGCATGAGCATCATCTGCGCAGTTGGGAACCGATGACATGTGTTAACCATGTCAACGATCCTGACCACCCGATCCCGTTACTCGCCTCTTACGACAAGCATGGGTTACTGAAGATCAATATTCTAACCCTGATCTTCACGGGTAACACGGGGAAAAGAGTTATTAGCGTTACACAGCACTCACCACGACGCAGTGTCTCTTCACGACTGCCATACATGGTTAAGCTGACCTTATGACCATTGGCGAAAATATTGTGAAGAAATAGTTATCTACGAATCTGTCACATGGCGCGTATCCTATTATCTTTCAATGAGGACTTTACACGTACTGGTCAATGTATGCCAAAGAAAAGTGACAATCCTAACATCGTTAAAAACAACAGATGAAATTATACAGCAGGTATATACTATGCAACAGTTTTATTCATGAAACTATTTCTACAAAAAGTTTCGATGTCAGGGTTCACCACGAATTCTATTCCCTGAGTGCCACGTTCACATTGCACTTCCTGTAGATGGTTCTCTTCTTGATTTCATCAAGTGCCAAAGGGTCGCTCAAAGACAAAACATTTTCTTCATCGGGAGCTGACGCCACGTTACTAATATCCGACAGGTCGAGAACACCTGATGACGGAGTAACGATAATAACTGTTGCCTCTGAGAGGAGTTCGCCAATGGGGTCCCTTATGCTTGACTTTTTGCTACTATTGCCATCCGTAAACAAAATAACGATGTTTTCTGCATCTGGACGGTCGCCGTTTTTCTCAACAAACACATCACTTATAGCCAAGCTGATCGCATCGGCGAGAAAAGTGGACCCGCCTGTTTGTTTCTGAGCATTAACAGCAGCAATTGCACCTCTTTTATTGTTCTTGTTCTTATTCAGATAAAAGTTCACTTCAGCCTTTCCTGAATACGTCATTAAAGCCACATTAATACTATTATGTCTTATGAGAGTGTAAGAGATCAGTTCGACTTCTAAGTCCTTCATCGCCATGTATTGTGCTTCGGGTATGGATGAAGATACGTCTTCAATCAGAAGGATATCCAGTTTCTCCTGTCGACATTCTGAAAACATAGGGTTTGAACACTTTAGTATTTACTCTGGTGCAGATTCAAATTCTGTTAGATTCGAGAATGAATACTATTTGATATATTTATGTCATCATGATTTCTTTGATTGATGGCTACTCTCAATATATAAAGTGGTTGTTTTGTGCAACAGTTTGCTGTCATATTGGTGGAAAAGAAAAGAGAGGAATCTTACTTTTTCCACAGTTACGTCCCTCATATCCAACCAAACATGTACAAGTGTATCCATTTGGGTCATTTTTACAGATCGCTCCATTTCTACAAGGTTTATTGAAGCACTTGTCTGCAGCTGAAAAAAGGCATAAATAACGTGTTATTGCACATTGTGGTCTGTATAACTTAACCTTTTCACAGGAAAACTTAATGATTGTTTAATTCATTTACTTCATTGTATTTATCCAAGAATCCAGATTTTATGGAGCTCTTCTTTGTTAAGATTCCATAGTCAGCAATGTTTCAGCTGCATTAGGCCGTGTTCCAATGATGCCTACAATCAAACAGAGCAGCGACTGTATAAGCAACGTACCGGGCCATTATACCCCCATGATGAGTTAGTGAGTTAAAATTTAATGTCACATCCGAAATGTTTCAGCCATATCGTGACGAGGATTCGGATATAAATATTCAGTATATTAGTATTAAGACGTCTGTCAGCGATGGACAGTAGAACTACTAGAGTGAGTGAGTTAGAATTTAACGTCACCACGGCAATATTTCAGCCATATAGTGACGAGAAATGTTGTACATACAATAAATACAAGGAATTAAATAACCAGTCACCAACGGACTGTAAAATAACTAGAGTATCACAAAAAGAGTTAAAACTAGCTAGTATTATTTTTAAAAGTAGAAAACTATTTTAGACAATACAATGTAAAAATGGGCTAGTGATTGCCAACAACCGAAGGTAGATCACCATACCAGGGACCATTGGGACTTACAGTGCCTTTGGTACCTGCATGGACCCTAGCTGGATTTATACCATCCCTTCAGCCGCTGGCAATTGTAAGCAAATTTAGCCACAAATTAAAATGACAAGAATACTACGAGTAAAACAGTGGAGGATTAAAATTTTACTTTGAATGTTTTGGGACTTACGTATCCTCTCAGGTTGAAAATAATTGAGGATACAGCCACGAACAATCTGAGTTACTAATTTAATAACTTAGAATCATAAAATATTTATCTATTTACAAATCGTTTAACAAGTCTAGAATTGCTACAATTACTAGAGTACCATAAGTATAAATTAAAACTATACTAGGCACATAAAGAAACTGTGCATACAAAAATTTAAAATCTAAATTTATCAAATCTGTGTAGACACATACGGATTTAAACTCAGAGAATGCACGTGCATTCCGGGAAAGAGAAACAGAGCAAATGAATGCCACACAATACTGTCACTTTGGAAAGCTCAACCCCTGCCCTTGCGATCGTTCAAAAAATTAAACGGCTATTGAAACGCATTGCATGCCAAGGCTCATGTCTGCACAACGTCATGAGGCCATTGGGATGGTCCGCGGGGGAATGTCTCAACGACAAATGGCTGCACATTTCCCCCTGCCACCGGAACACCATTTCTGCACTGGTGAGACGCTACCAGAACACAAATGACGTCATCGGTCGGCCACGTTTGTGACGTCCACGTGTAACAACGCCAAGATAGTACATATGGATATCCCATATTCGCCACAGGTTTCAGACTGCAGTGATGACTGCCCGAACCATCCCAGGACTTCGCCGTATCCACCCCAACACAGTTCGACAACGTTTACGTAATCACGGGATCAGACCACGACGTCCCGCCATACGGCCTATCCTGACACAACGTCATCGACAAGCTCGGCGAATGTGGTGCCAAAATCATGTCCGCAGACCCTTGTTTTAGTGGAGAAATGTTGTTTTTACAGATGAGTCCAGGTTTAACATTTCCCATAGTGATGGACGTCAACGTGCCTATAGACGCGTTGGAGAACGTTGTGCACAGGCCTGTGTCTTGGAGAGGAATCGCTTTGGTGGTGATTCCGTGATGATTTGGGGTTGAATAACAGCACGCTCAAGAACTCCTTTGGTGATTGTTCAGGGCAACTTAACTGGTGTGGGCTACAGGGATCAGATTCTTCGACCCGTGGCAATTCCTTATCTGCAACGTCATGGCCCTTGGTTAACAGTCCAACAGGACATTGCCCTCATACGGCAAGGGTTGCTATGAATTTCTTGCAACACCACAACGTTGACTTACTGCCTTGGCCTGCAAATTCACCGGATCTCTCCCCGATAGAGCATGTTTGGGACGAGATGGATCGACGTCTACGCCGTCTTCCTCATCCGCCAGAGAACGTCGTTGACCTTGCAACATAACTTGAGGGAATCTGACGTGACATCCCACAAGCCTTCCTTGCACGTTTGATAGGCTCTATGCGTCGTCGATACACTGCTGTTCCCAATGCCGATGGTGGACATACCCCTTATTGAGCTTGTGACATGGTCGTTTGACCCCTGTCCCGCTTGTGGACTCGTGACGTCATTGTGATTGACTTTTCAATTGAAATTCTCCCGACTTGTTATGATCTCATGATCCCTCCATTAAAGTTTATATGTACCTTTGACATTGTTATCGTACTTATCAACTGGGATAATATTTTGCCAATGCACAGTTTCTTTATGTGGCTAGTATAGTTGACATTTAAAAGAACACATTAGTAAAGAACAGTACATTGTAAAAATGGCCTATAGATCTCCAGCTACCTACCCAGAGTGGGTTGTGGCCGTTCAAATCACCCATGAGTACACATCGGCAATGTTTCAACCATATCGTGACGACAACCAATTTGATAAAGAATATGTATATATTATAAATCCTGTCGTCAAAGGACAGTAAAACAACGAGACCATCACAGCTCGAATTAAAACTAGCATGTGAAATTAAAACTAATAGCACTATTTGGACAATACATAAATAGGCTATACAGATCGCTAATGTGTTCAAATGAAGGGAAATCACCATGCTAGGGACCATAGTGACGTACAATGACTTTGCTACCTGCGTGGACCCTAGCTGGATTTACACCATCCCTCCAGCCAATGCCGATTGTACCCTAATTTAGCCGTCACATAAAGGAACAAATATAATCGGATTAAAACCTGGTAGATACAAACCAACCTTGATGAATTTACGTACGATGAGCAATCACCAGAGCAATCAACCTGACAACCCGATCTACCAGGACAGATAGAGGGTACATTGGAGAAGTTCTAAAACCGGAATACCGGTTGGAGCCAGGCTTTTATTTCTATCTGTATTGGGCGGTACTTACATCCTCTACAATGGCCACCTGAGAACCCTGCAGCACATTTGCAGTAGAAATCCGTTGGTGTTTTCTCAATACATTTTCCTCCATTAGCACATGGCTTCTTCTTGCATGGGTGAACAACTTTTGCAGTTGCTGAAAGATAATGAAGATTTACGTCACCATAGAGTGATTTCTGTATGTAGCGATATCCGGGATTACTAACATTATCAACACAAGTTTGGTCCTCCATAGGACTTTGTATTGCCCCAAATTTCATATTGCGATATATTGTGAGACACTCTTCTGTATTGCCATACGTATTGCAATATATTGTGAAAGAACAGATATTGAGATCTGTCCACTTGGTAATATTTAATTATCTTCATATTGAATCACATTATATGTGAGTAACCATTGTGCACTGCATAGCTTCTTTCAAAGTGAAAACAGGAAAATCCAGAACATCGTTCTGTTTATATTATAAATTTATAACAGCAGGGATCGACATTAAATAAAACTTTTAACTGGCCTTCCGGGCTAGTGGATTTTATATGTCACTAGTCCTTTCAAAAAATTACTAGCCCTACGCTTTACTATTAAAAAACTTTCAACAAGTCTTTCTTGTAAATGTAACTGCTGTTCAAAGAAAAGTTAACGCAGATAAATGCATGATTTCCCATTTCATATATATGACAAATTCAACTGAAACTAGCTTACACCATGTCCTCCATCGACCCACCCATTCTATTTATATACTTTAACTTCTTTAAACAGCAAAGGGTGTTGAACTTGAAATAATTTAAAGAGTTAAAGAATTTACTGTGCACATCTGTATTACTCAAGAAAAATTAATTAAAGTCACAATCATGTGACATGATCTTGAAAGGCACGTTATAATGAAAACAATGATATATGAGCCCATGTCTTTGTGTAAAAGTATTATTAACATTACTTATTTCACGAATGGCGTTTGGTACACTTTCTCATAAAGAAATGATTTAACAAAACACTCACGATTGGCAAAAGTCACGCTGTATCAGGTAAAGTACACTTTCTTTATACTGAATAGAATAATGAAAAAACCAAAAACCATGAGAAATATATCTTATAATAAGATAAAAGCCTACGTTTATCAAGGAAAATATCAGCACGTGAAACATTATCGCTATGTCATACACCATTAAAATGTTTAGGTCCAATCCAACTGTTGATAAATACCAAAGGTATGTTTATCAAATCGTTCAAATAATACAACTTCAACTTCAATAAATTTATTTCTAATAGGAATACATTTTTACACACTTAAAATGTCCATATCAACCACGAAGGACACGTAAACTCCCGCTATTTTAATCCATTTGTAAGATGCCATAATATCCTCTTACCTATTTCTTTTATAATTTCATTTGTACGTATATAAAGATGAATTAAAGAATATGTATGGTCGCCTTTTTCCCGATAACCGTGGCTTTTCACCCGGTATCATGACACAACACTGGGAAATGCCTCCGTTTTCGACGCTCCGTATGAACAACACTCGAGAAGATTCATTTGATGGCGGATATTGTTCCAAAGCTGTAATCATCAATAATAACACAGTAACCTTGCCAGGAGTATTTTTGCAGTTGTAAGAAGCGATTTTATTGGATAAAGATTGGTTTCAAATGACGCTTTTTCGCAACAGTCTGCTATAAGGTTCGTCATTGGTAAAAATCATGTTTGTTAGCCAATCATATTACAGCAATGGATACCGTCCTCATAAACGAAAACTTTTAGACAAAAGATTTGGATACAATAATGCTATTCTGAACGTGTTAAGCATCAAATCGCCATATATACGTAAATTATGGAACTGATTGGACGTATCGTGCTAGGTGGTGACCTGTGACAAATATTCTTTACGCAAATGTTTTCTCATTAAACATCGTGTCCGAACATGAAGATCGAGGCGACGAAAGCCGAGATGTCACTTGACTTACATAACATGATCGCACGAAAAGATGGAAGTAGTAACCTAGATGCACGTTTGAGAACTTTTATGAAAACTGGATTTTATTCATTAGTTTATTCAATTTTAATGATTTCCTCAAAACGACGATACTTTGCTCTTAGACAATTTTAAGTGGACCCGTTGCCAACCATTTAGAAAGACTTCTGCCCAATCCCACACACCACCACCCATATTACCTGAATATGCATATACATCTTTTTCCTCACCATTAAAATTAGGAGGTGTACCGGCGGAAGTATTATGTGCGGTGTTAAATGGGTATACCGGTACGTCATAAACGTATCGCGATATGTAGTTGTTACAATTACGTATTGCAGTTTACGGGTATACCGGTAATACCGTGCAGCCCTAGTCGTGAAGTAAGTATTTAAGTGGGTGGATAAATACTACTTCGTTTAATAGGCTAAACCGAATACTTTTGCTTTTCATGAGCACGGTTAATACCATTCCATGGGCGAGTGGACGTTTTCATGCAGAATGCTTTTAATTTATACATTGTAACTGGTACTGCTATCGCATGTGCAAACGCGCAGTGTGTTTACAGACTCCTGCCAGTTATATTGGGCTACTTGACGTAATCCCCATATACTTACATGTTATTTCAGTGAAGCTTAAATAATTTTCATGAAGTGAGTTTAGGATGGATCTTTGTAAAATTTGACAGGCAAATGTGAAATTATCTATGCTCTGCGCACATAATTTCAGTTAAATTTTCCGACCACTATTTAGCTAATGGCATCACATTTATCCACTTACGTATGGTTCCACAATGGACAATCTCATAGGTCGCCATGTTCACGGCACTGTACATATCTTGATAAAACTGTTGCCATTCGATAAATTAGCAACAGAAAATTAAACAGAAATTATGTGATTGTAGGTAAGATGATTCCTCAGAAATGTGCAAAATTTGACTTGGATCTTACAATAATTATTTTTGCTACACAAAATTAACATGTACGTATATGGAAATTACGGCTAGTGGAAACATTACCTCTCATTTTTTTTTCTACGGAACAAATGTTCGCTAACTAAGCCTGTGTCCACAGCCCAACGGTGCATACGTGACATATCATGATGCGTGACAAGTCAGCTTCATGTGAGATGTATTGATCAAAATGTACTTCCTCCGTATGGTCTAATCTCAAATTACATTCAGATAATATAGAGACGTTATTTAACCCGAACGTCAACCATCTTCAATGTGTTTTTCATCTTGGTAACTTCGCGTCTTAACGAAAGGGACAGACGACGTGCGTCAATAGAACAGCAGATCAGTTCGCCCTGAACGATGAATGTTAATTTCGGTCGCCGACACCGTTGTTTTTCTGCCTTAAATACATCGTCGGTAAGCATAGAGTAAAAGTGAGTTAAGATTTTGAGTCACATCGGCAGTATGTCAGCCATATCGTGACAATATCAAGTTATATATTTATAATAAATACAGGTAAATTATTAAAACCTGTCAATGAAGGGCAGTAAAACAACTAGTTTATCACAGATCGAAATTTAAAAACTAGTAATGAAATTGAAAACAGTTTAACTATACAAGACGATACAATATAGGAACAGGCTATATATTGCCAACAACTGAAGGTAGATCCCCATACAAGGGACCATGGGGACTTACAGTACATTTGCTTCCTGCATGGACCCTAGCTGTATTTACACCATCCCTTCAGCTGTTAGTAATGAAACTTTAAGAAATCATGTTGATAATTCAAATTAAATTCAGGCCTGAAAGCTTTTGCTTTCTGCCTTGACTTGAAACTGCTGCAAGATGCACTTTTGTTGATTCAGATTGTCGTCTTTCAAGAAAAGAAAGCGTTTGAAGATTGGGTAATCAGTCAAAAGTAGCCTTAGGAGAAATGTTATCGGTCCAAATACGGTTTCCTGTGTAGCCTGGCCCGCAGGTGTTGCTTTGGCTCAGTCGGTCGCTGTGATATAAGTATGTCAAAATATTTTGCAGCTAACATACCACGGTCTCAGGCAACACAAACAAAGGAAATTATGCTCTATTTAGAGGTAGTTCGACTTACCAGCGCTGTACAGGGACAGTACTGCGAGGAAGAGGAGAACAAATCTGGCTGTCATTTCCTGTAAAATACATATATCAATAATATCATTTCCACACACAATAAAATAGAAAAGTACATGCTCAATATTAATCTCACCACTAAAATATGTTTTTACCAAGGAATTACAGGATTCTTGTAAAAAGTGTTCCTCTAGTCCTGCAAAATATATGTTGGATAGATGTTTCATATAATATCAGAGGCAGGTGTTATTGGCATGGTTTGCCTTCATCCGTAATTCGACCCGTGAAGATCTGGATTAGAATTGATCTTCAGTGAGTGACTGAGTGAGTGAGTTTAGTTTTACGCCGCACTCGGCAATATTCCAGCCATATGGCGGAGGTCTGTAAATAATCGAGTCTGGACCAGACAACCCAGTGATCAACAGCATGATCATCGATCTGCGCAATTGGGAACCGATGACAAGTCAGCGAGCCTGACCACCCTATCCCGTTAGTCGCCTTTTTACGACAAGCACAGTCGCCTTTTGTGGCAAGCATGGGTTGCTGAAGACCTATTCTACCCCTTGATCTTCAGTAACCCATGTTTATCGTTACAGGCGACTAACGGGATCAGGCTCGCTGACTTGGTTGACACATGTCATCGTATCCCAATTGCGTAGATCGATGCTGGCGCTATTGATCACTGGATTGTCTGGTCCAGACTCGATTATTTACAGACCGCCGCCATATAGCTGGAATATTGCTGGCTGCGGCGTAAAACTAAACTAATTTTATGAAAGAATGTTTGGATTTGAAACCAGATAAGGAGTGTGATAAATGGTGGCAGGAATAAAAGCAGCTGTTGTTCGAACCGCTCTACATTTGCAAGCTCCACGACATATTCGAGAAGGATTGCCATCAGTATTCACTTTGAAAGACCAGACAACTAGGCACGTATCATTTCCACTCAATGCAGGCTTAAGCGAATGAAGACACCTCTGTCCCTGGCTCTGGAACAAGATTGACATTCCATGCCTCGGGTAAAATTGCCAATGGAGAGCTATGGGTATGTGTCAGTCTGGTACCCCGTGCCTTGTGGATTCAACCTCTACAGAAAGGAAGTTTGGCACTTATGGCGACGTTTTAGCACGACAATCAAGTTATAGTATTAAAGGATTGGGAAACTTCGCACATCCGACAACGGTTACAGCTAGCAAACTTTACGGCCTGTACCATACCTGACAACAGAGTTGCATCTGCGAGAACTCCTCAACAATATCTACGGCATCCATGCACGACATCCCGCCCGACGGCTAATTCTGATGCCAGAACATTTGACGTCGAGTGCAGACAAAAATAGCAATGGGTGTATCTCATGTGTATCTTAACCGATTCGTCAAGTTAGCGTCAGGCCATGAGTTATGGAATGGGATCTAGGGCCATAATGGTTGGACAGGTTGGAATAACAGCTGCAGCAAGAACGCCAGTAATTGTGATTGAGGGAACTTTGAATTCTTTGAGGTGCACATACGTGAATTTCGCAAGTGGCTGCTTTACCGTTTTTGCAACTGTGAAGGCCATGGATTGGCGTTGCTACATGATTACGCCTGATCAGACGTTGCTCGGGGTGCACATCTGTATCTTAATCAGAGCAATGTTAGTGTGTTATCCAGACACGTGAGATTCCCTGATTTGTCACCCACTGAACACGTCAGGGATGAAACGGAACGACGTTTGCGACGTCACTCGAATCCGCCAACAACGCTGCAGAAACTCCGCCAAATCATTAGGCGTTAGGCTTGCATCAATGCACAGGGTGGACACATGCGTTGTATGAAATTCTTTATGAACCCCATGCCCGTGCGCTGTTCGTATGGACCGTTCATCGTTATCTTACCTCGTCTTTCCCTAAAATACCATTTCATTCTGAAAATTCAGACTGGCGACAGACGTTTCAAAATTCAGATCAGCGTAGCGGAATTTAAAGTAACCAACCCCTTCCTTGAGAGAATAACAACAGCTGTACAAGATTGCCTATAGCATGATACACCTATAGAAAGAGATGATTATAATCCTCAAAGTTTGTCTAGAATTGAATGAGTGAGTGTACATCTTACCGTTTGTTTTCTGACAGTCGCCTCGCGTATTACAGCATCTGTAGTTTGATGACAGGTTTTGCTTTGGTCTTATATGCATCCTTTCCTCCAGAGCAACATGTGCATGCTATTGAATTGTAATAGTTTTAAGAGAGCTACCAAGATAAAACGCTTACGAAGCAACGATAAAGTATTATGTTCTGGATGGTACGATGATTAATGTATTTGGTCCTATGCACACCACTCATTAGGACCAGCTCGCGGAGATCAATTGTTTGTTTTTATTCGCTGCAGTTTACAAAGTGGTTGATTTCGTGAGAAACGACCAAGGTTGTCGGAGTCATGTATAGCATGTGTTTGACAGTAAGGGCCTAACAAGAGATTTAGTAACGTTCTCAACTGAAATAAAACGTTCAGCTGTCCTCGAACGAATTTCAAGTGATATTTGAAGAGTTCTCCAGGCAATTCTCAATCTGCCAAAATAAAATGTGTCTAAAGTAATTGTTTTCATAGTGTTGCTCATGTTGCAAGTGCACATATTCATGTTTTTACTGATTGTGCGCATAACACTCCACCATGACATGGAAATGTCAATACAGTTAAATATCTTTACACTGTAGAGCTAGAAAAAGGTAGGCGTTAAAGTTGGGTTTTCTGTGAGCAGAGACTGAGACAGGAATACTAACAAACGATTCAGTAGTCGTCAGGTTTGTTATCTGCTGGCTTTTTCTTCATTCAATTGCACTTTACACTGAGCCTTTAATTGAACTTAACGTCTCATGCAATGCATGGTATAACTTTGGATTCCACAAGCGTGTTTTATCTTGAGTCTCAATCACTATAAACCATGGCCGGTTGTTTTGGTAGAAGTAGTCAGATGTCACTGTTCGTTATCAGGATCGTTGTCAACTGGACATGTGCTTTGTTTGTGCGTGTTACATAAGCAATGTTTAGGGTTTACATTTCATATCCGAGCTCCCCTCCCACCAGGGAGTATGATGAGGACAACACTTAAAAAGTGGAACTCTGACTTGCACGGACAGGATACACAGATGATATACTCCAGCAGAGACAAAAACAACAAAAATACTATTTTTGCCCATGAGCCACCGCATTCTGAGCAAACGAAAACGATATTGGGCATTGTAATTCCGATTTGCCCCAGCCTGAAAAAATCGATCATTCTTTATCAATTTCGTGCAACAGTAGTAATTGGGCGTTGCATGGCCAGCTGATAGAACCTGCCATTCTTGCTCGTCTAGGTGGTGTATTAGGGCAAGGGAAGCCAATTGGAGGAACCTGTGCCCTCAAATTCCAGTACCCCGTCCTCCACCAACCCACGGCAAACAGGACTGGTTGCAGAATTTGGTCGCTTTGTACCACAGACAATAGGGTGATGAGGACCTAATCTACCCTGGGTCTTCAGCGGCAGTACATTCCCATTTTTCCCTCACAAGGTATTAATATTTCAAATCATCATCTGTAAAGGATCTGTTTAATGGTTCGAAGTTTCGGTTAGTTGAGTAGTTATTGGTACATTAGTTTTTTAAGACAATTGACTTGATTCATTTTTTATGTACAAAATGTGTGATTTCACCTAAGCAGGATTCGTAGAATATATGTTATTTCAATTCAGGACTAGAATTTCCTGTAATCGATTGCAAATGAAAGGATGGTGTAAATCCAACTAGGGTACCTGCTGGTGAAAAAAGTAAGATATACTGTTTAGTTTACTGTTTAGCCCGTTTCATTTCATAATTTGTCGTGTACAGGACGATACTTGCTAGTTTTAATTGTTGGTTACTTTGTTGTTAATGCCGCACTCAGCAATATTCCAGCTATATGGCGGCGGTTTCTAAATAATCGTGTCTGGGCAAGACAACCCAGTGATCATCATCATGAGCATCGATCTGCGCAATTGGGAACCGATGACAAGTGTCAACCAAGTCTGCTAATTATCGAGGGGTGTCACTTTTAAGCTGCTTGGGTAAACTATTCACTTCCATATTAAGTAAACGGCTCTAATCTTACTCTGACAGCGTTGGTGTCATAAGCTCTGCGCAAGCGGGCTTCAGGAAAAACTATTCCACCATTGATAACATTTATATCTTAAAGGCATTGATATATATATACCTTAATCAAAATAAGAAATTATACTGCGTATTTGTTGATTTTAGTAAAGCCTTTGATACTGTGTGGCGCTGTGGCCTTTGGCGGAAAATGGTTGATAATGGTATTACTAGAAAATGTTTTAATGTTATAAAAAATATGTATCAGCATATAAAATCATGTGTTTCTCATAATGGCAGTACAACCCAATTCTTTCCTTGTAATACGGGTGTTAGACAAGGCGAAAATTTATCTCCATTTCTGTTTGCTCTTTTTTTAAATGATTTGGAATATTTTCTATCAAATAACGTAATTGGTTTGGAATTTGTATATGCTTATGCACTAAAAGAAATTGGTATATTCATTAAGCTACTTGTAATTCTTTATGCTGGTAATTCTTTTATCTGAATCTCTTTCTGATTTGAAACTTTGTTTGGAAACGTTTGATGCTTACTGTACACTATGGAAACTAACAGTAAACATTTCTAAAACTAAAGTTTTATTTTTTTCCAAAAGAAGCAGTAAACTTGGTTCATTAATTGTTCTGCAGAATACTGTTTTAGAGGTAGAAAAACATTATGTTTATCTTGGTGTACTATTCACATGCACTGGTCGCTTTTGTAAAGCCATTAAACGGCTCTCTGATCAATCTTCTCGTGCAATGTTTGCTATATTTAGAAACATTCGCTTGTTAGATATACCGGTCGACTGCCAACTTAAACTTTTTGATCAACTTGTTAAGCCTATTTCATTGTATGGTGCTGAGGTGTGGGGCTACGAAAACACTATTCAATTAGAACGTATTCATTTAAAATTTCGTAAATACATATTGACGGTAAAAACAACAACCCAAGACTTTATGGTTTACGGTGAACTTTGAAGATATCCACTTAGTATTTCTATCAAATTGAGATTGTTATCATATTGGTGTAAATTATTATTATCTCATGGTAAACTATCAAAAGTAATGTATAAATTAATGTTCAATTTGCACAATTCTCAGGCAAATGCTAAATATCCGCTAATAGCGGAAGTAAAATCTGTCTTAGAGAATACAGGCTTTAGCTACATTTGGCAGTTACAAGAATTTCAGAGTACCCATTGGCTGGTAAATAATGTTAAAACTGTACTCGTTGATCAGTTTCTACAAACTTGGAGAGAAAGTAAATCACAATCATCGAAAGGCCTATATTACAATATGTTTAAGGATAATCTTTATATTGAAACTTATTTGTTGCAACTTCCTTTAGATTTACGTATTTATACTACAAAACTTAGAACTTGTAACCACAGACTCCCTATTGAAACTGGTAGATGGCATAAACTTGATAAAGAAAATAGATTGTGTACATCATGCAAGAGTAAAATTGGGGATGAATTTCACTTTATGTTAGAATGCAATGAGTTAAACAAATTACGAAACAAATATCTCCCTCCATATTATTGTAAACATCCCACTGTGGATAAATATATTTCACTTATGTCTATCACATACAAACCAATACTTGTTAAACTTGCTCTTTTTGTGAAATGGGGCTTGCGTACGCTCCGTTAATGTAATATGTATTTGTTTCATTGTTTTGCACATGTAATTGTTTTACTCTATGTCATGTATATGACTCATGAGAATAAACTTTGAATTGAATTGAATTGAATTGAGAATTGCTAGCCTGACCACCCGTTCCCGTTAGTCGCCTCTAACGACAAGCTTGGGTTGATAAAGATCCATTCTAACTCTGACCTTCACGGGTCTCTGAAACAAGAGTGCGGCGTAAAACTAAACTCACTAACTCACTCTTGTTTCAGAGGTTACTGATGACTGCCTTTTGATATAATATGCACTTAGCACTTTGCTTCTCGGAACTATTGTGAGCATAGGGTCAATTAATGCTGACAGGTACTTAACCTGAGTGTCCTTTCTATGTTCATATTTAATGGCGTTTTTGAATACGTTTTATGCAGGTGAGCGACATCACTCCAGTTTGTTATTATACAATTTTCCTATTGACGATATGTCTGAACTACCGATGTGACACTAATGTTAACTCACTCACTCTCTTATCTGGGTTTGAAACAGTTAAATCTACCTGAATGTTTTGTTTGTAATCTCTGTTAACACAACATATCAAGTACAACCAAAAAATTATTGAGAATTCACGATTGTATTTTTAAAATTTGTTTTTACTCATTACTCACGTATTAAATGTGAATATTAGCAGAACATAACTCCAGATTCAAAGACAGGTGAACAGTTAGTATTTTGTCAAGTCACCATGGGCAGCAATGCAGGCTTCAATGCGGCGGGGCATACTACTGATCAAAGAAGTTAGAAAGTCGTGGCCAATGCTGTCCAAATATCGGACCACCTCTCCTTTCATTTCAGCAATATTTGTCAGATTTTTCTTATGGACACTTTCCTTCATAAGTCCCCAAACATTTTCTATTGGATTTAGGTCAGGGCTATAGCTTGGCCAATCTAATAATGTCATATTTTGGGTCCAAAACCAGGCCTGTGAATGCTTTGAACGATGTTTTGGGTCGTTGTCCTGCTGGAAAATCCAAAAATTTCCATAGAACACGTGAGCAGATGGAATGTCCCTCGAGAATATCTGTGCACCGCTCACTGTTCATATTCCCTTGAAATACACAGAGGGCGTTGCCCCTAACACAGATATGCCACCCCACACGTTAAATTTCAGACTGTACTTTGGGCGCTGACACAAAGGTATTTCAGTTTGTTTGGTTTCATGTTTTGAAAACTATTGCAAATGGATATGGTATTGAGCACCAGGGAGGCGCAGAAAATTGACTGTCGGTGACAGGAGGCGGCTTGGTATTCTTGTTTCTAAAAACAAACGATGGAGTTTAGAAAACTTAAGGCTGGATATGATTGATAGAGAAACCGTGTCTGTCTGTAAGGAGACAATTAGAAGTGAGCTGCATGCAATGGGTTGGCAGAAATGTCGAG